GTTGGCTGGTAGGTTGGTCTGTTGGTTGATTGGTTTGTTGGTACGTTTATTGAATGATGGGTTGATTGGTTTGTTGGTACGTTTATTGAATGATGGGTTGATTGGTTTGTTGGTTGACTGGCTAAAACATTAGTCAAATCATTGACTGAATAATCTTGGTGTTCGCCAGCCGGCCTGGAAGAATCCGTCCAAAGAGCTGGACGACGACTGGCCCCGTCGCGGCGACATCGTCTTCCACACGTACAGCACGCGCTACAGGCCTGACCTTGACCTTGTGCTCAAGAACGTCTCCTGCCACATCGAGGACGGGGAAAAGGTGAGCGTGCTGTTCAAATGTTTCGTCTCCGCCCTTCTCCATTATTGTTGCCCAGCAACAGAGTCGTCTGAAAGCAATGCGGATAAAATGATACGTTGTGTCAACAAAACTGATGTGTAAGGGGTTACGATAATAGCTCGTGGTTTCAACAAAACTGTTGTGTAACCCTCTCCGTACGCCCTGGGGTCATTTTGTACCCTACGGGTTGTATTTTTCACATTTTTGAATGCTTTTAGTGCGAAGATCTCTTTGAAACTTTCAGTATTTCTCAAAAAAATCATTTTGACAGACTGCTAGGCATTAGAGCGGATTAACGCGTAAATTTCATCTTTGGAAATAGAGTTCCCCATGTCGTATGGATACGATAGTAAACACAACGTGCAGATAGGGGTGAACAATAAGGGTTAAAATAATATGTGACTCCAACGAAACTGGTGTATAAACAATAAGGGTAAAGTAATGATAATACTATGTGGTTTAAATAAAAGTGACGCGTAAGGGTTAAAATAATAATACACATCATGACCCTATCCTTGGATGTGTCTTGAATCCTTTATTTTGCAACAGATTGGCATCGTGGGTCATATATCTATATTTGTTGTCAGCTGAAGTCACGATTAATTGAGTAATCGACTACACATCCCAGTGAGGATGTGTAGATTTATCGTTCTTGCCTTGTGCACACCAAGAATAGGTTGTTGTGATGGAGTGGTATACCTTGTATCATGTTGTATCATGTACGTCATGGTCTCGATGATTCCTCCCTGCTAGTAGCACTTGGGAGAATAGGCATATCATATTACAATTTTTTTTTTCTTCAACAAATTTGTCTTTTTTTTTGCAATTGATTTTTACATCAGCATGACTTAATTAGATTTGTGTATACGATATACACGTAATTTCATCCACTGATTTGTCTTGAATCCTTTATGTTGCAACAGATTGCTATCGTGGGTCACATATTATCTATCTATTACTCCATCCATGGATTTGTTTCGAATCCTTTATTATGTGACAGATTGGCATCTTTGGTCATATATTTATATAATAATATACACACATGGCTCTATCCATGGATTTGTCTTGAATCCTTAATGTTGTAACAAATTGGAATCGTGAGTCATATATCTATATATGACTCAATCCTTGGATTTGTTTCGAATTATTTATTTTGTAACAGATTGACATCGTGGCTAATATATCTATATCTATCCATGTATTTGTCTCGAATCCTTTATGTTGTAACAAATTGGCATTGTGGGTCATATATCTGTCTATCATTCTATCCATGGATTTGTTCCGAATCTTTTATCCTGTAACAAATTGGAATCGTGGGTCATATAATACTATCTATCTATGACTCCATCAATGGATTTGTCTTGAATTCTCTATTTTTCTTCGGTCATATAATATCTATATATATACACACATGACTCCATCCATGGATTTGTCTTAGATCCTCTTTCTTATAACAGATTGGCATCGTGGGTCGCACGGGTGCAGGCAAGTCGTCCATGTCCATGGCCTTGTTCCGCATGATCGAGTCGGCCGGCGGGAGCATCATCATCGACGGGGTGAACATCGCGGACATCGGCCTGCACGACCTCAGGTCAAGGCTGACCATCATTCCTCAGGTCAGAGGTCAACTAGTACTGTTGTATGGTATTAACAGTTTTAGTACAGGTACCACGATTTATCAGCACGTCATGGCTGTGTGGTACACTGAAAGGCAGTGATGTAACGGTGTACGCTGCTGAAGAGTTAAAGTCCAGCTGTAATATTATGTATGTCTGCCATATTGATGTATAGACGTTATCTATCTATCTATCTATCTATCTATCTATCTATCTATCTATCTATCTATCTAT